AATGCTGGAGCAGTAGTCTTCCCTCTCAGCACCCTAACTCCTTGCCTTCCGTTCCCATCCTTAACTTTACCCTTCCTTACATTCCCGGTCTCTGGCTGAAGAGGGTCAGGAAACACTGCCCGCCTCCGCTATCCCTCGGGGTGTCGGAGGAATGAACACGTTGGCCTTTTCCTTAAAAAAAAAAAAGTACTGGTGCTTGGTGCGTGTGCTGGTGTTGATGGTGCGTGTTGGTGTTCCAACATAGCAGAGGTATATACATTGCATATAAGATGCACATTCTATGTGGGTTTTTGTATATCCATGGAACATGAAAAATATGTCGACAACATCCAATTGTACGCTCTGGCCGCCAACACTTCATTTATTCCTTGAGCTAAGACGCTAAGAGAATTCTGTCGTCAAAGTGACATGCCCAAATTCGACAGAAAGAAAAATTTTCCTTGATAATCGGTAGAGATTTTTGCCCAACAAAAGGTGGCGTAGTTTTTAATATGTTGTTATAACGTCTGGCCCTGGAAACAAAAACCATGTTTTCGACCTGGGGGGAGAACCGCTCGCTTCGCCATCTTGGATGAAAAGTGAAAAAAACGGTTTTTTCAAAATAATTCCGTAGCGGTTTTGTTAGTGCATTTTTACAAAGTTATTTGTTGTACCTATCGAGGCCGAGTAGTTAGGGGCGACGCTACAAGATGTGAGGTCGGCGACATCTGGGCGCCATTCCCGAGTGTGTTATACTAACCTGGGATTCCGCAGTTTTTCTCCGACTGTTTTCAAATAGGTGTCGTCGGAAAGATCTTGTCAACGCTCATAACTCCTTCGTGGCGGAATTTTGTTGTTTCTCCCTAGGGACGAAATTAACCACCTTTTGCACGGCGCGCTTCGAGAGGTAGTCGACTTTGGGTGCCCAACAGATTTTCAGATCTCGAATCGTGGTCCCTCTTTCTGGTGTCGCCAATAGAAGCTGGAGTTACGAACAGTACCCAAAAATGGATTACTATTTTGTGCCGGGTTTTTAGCGAAATCCACCAAAATGCGAATTGCGAGTGAACGAGATGTAGGAACTGTGTACCGACAAAGAGAATGCGGTAGCTTTTTCCAAGATCTTATTGATGGTGGAGTAAACACTGGCCAATAAAACACTGATCTGCCACACAAAAATGCGCTGAAATCCCTTCGATCTCACACGAGCACTTTGATAATTTTTTAATATGTTGTTAAGGTCTGGGCCTGGAAACAAAAACGGTTTTCGACCTTGGAGGAAGGACCGCTCGCTCCGCCATCTTGGATGAAGTGAAAAAAATCGATTTTTTCAAAATAATTCCGCAGCAGTTTTTTTTTGTAAGAAACTTCTTTTTGTACTTCTATGTTTCGAGTTACAGCGGCGGAAATATGAACATTTTTCCTCAATTTTTATGATTTTTAACGCATTTTTGCAAATTTATTTGTCAAAAGGTATAGCTTTTAATTTCACTTTAGCAGGCTGGTCGGCTGGCGGCTGGCAGGAAATGCGAATCTATATGATGTGGAATCGGCAACATCTGGGCGTCATCGCCGAGCGTGTTATACAAACCTGGGGATTTTTTTCTATCTTTGTGTTTTGGTCCAATCGGGGTTTACAGTATAGTTGAATTCCGCAGTTCTAATTTAATAAGCGTGTATCTGAAACCATAAAACATTTTTTTTGACAGTAAAAGTCGAGGTAAAAGTTTATTTAAAAATAGAGGCTGATTAGCAAAAAAAATAATGAACATGTGCGGTTTTAAAGGTTTATTCAAAACGATATGATTGTGGCGGGCTCTGTGACGTAATAAGCCCGACCAATCAGCTCCTAGAACCATTCAGATGACATAACGACTTGGCAATATTGCAGGAGAATGGCATTTATAACTTTCGTCATCTGTCATAGGCACTTGTCACTTTCGTGCTAGATGCAGACATCCCTCTCAAAACGTGACAAACGTCAGACCCTCGCGTAAGGTTGCCAGCTCACTTCTACGTGATTGGTTGTAGGTTTGTGACGTATTTAGTCTGAAGCGTTTCAAATTCGGACTAAAAACCACAGCTTTTCAATAATTTATTTTGGGTTTATTTTACTCGCAAATAAAAATTGAGGACACACGGGTCTTTTTATTTTTAAAGTACTTTGTGGATGAGAAATAAAAAATAAAGGCGGGATGACCCCATTGTTTTCAAATTTGTGTCGTCGAAAAGATCTTGTAAATGCGCACAACTCCTGCGTGGCGGAATTGTGTTTTTTCCCTAGGGGCGAAATTAACCACCTTTTGCAAGGCGCGAGTCTTCGAGGGGTAGTGGACTTTGGGCGCCCAAGAGTTTCTTTAGAGCTCTAATTGCGGTCTCTCTTTCTTGCGTCACCTATATCGAAATCTACCAAAATGCGAATTGCGGGTGAACGGGACATCGGAAGCGAGTGCCGACAAAGGCAATATGGTAACCCGCCGACGAGATCTTTCTGATGGTGGAGTCAAAACTTCAAATTGGAATTGCGAGTGAACAGAACGTCAGAAGTGGTTACTGACAAAGGGAAAGTGGTTGCCCCCGATAAGATCTTACTAAATAATGGTGGAGTCAAAACTTTAAACGCGGATTGCGAGCGAGCGGGACGTCTGAAGTGGGTAATAAATACGTCACAAAACGAAGTAAAAATAACTTTATTTATATCACATCATTTGATTGAGAAATAAGTTTATGTGCAAAATAAGGCTTTGGACCAACGAAGCTTAATATCACAGGCAGTAATACAACACCATGAAACATACCAAATAAGACCACCAAAGAAAAAATCTGCAATAACAGAAATGTTAATAACTAATAGGTAATAGGTATAAGAACCAACCTTAAAGAATACTTGAAAGGTATACGCTTGCGAAAATGATAACATTGATACACCAATGAACGTTGAGAATGCCCCATATAAGACGGCAGAACCAATCGACACTACTGTCCGTAGTGAGCGCTCTTCTAGAGATCCTTCTTGTATCGTGAGGAAGGTATGGCCAATGTGACTGGCATAATCCACACATAATCCAATTGCTAACTCCAACGCAATGCACGAGACCATATCCAATGTAATCCCCCAACGTTGCATAAATCCGCACACGTTAACCATGGTTAACAGTACACAAATAAAAATCCAGAAGCAAATTTGCAAATTGGCCACCAGAACAACTGTACATATCATCACGCACAACAACGCCAGTTGTAAATTTCTCAGTACTTCCACGTCTATTAACTGCAATAGTTTTAGCATTTATTGACACCTCTGTAACGCAGTTGCTTACTTCATCAGTGACCCAAGTCGCAAAGATCTTCGACCACACCGTTGCAAACCGATCACCAGACGTAAAATTATTATTCTTCGCAATTTCCGTCGCCCTATGCATCGCTGGCAAATACTGCTTTGATCCATCAAAATGACGCAGTCTAAAGTTAACGCTAGACATCTACAAAGAAAAATGTAACGGTAACAAACGAATAATTCACTTACAGTAATACTGGTTGTGGGTATACCACACTCGAGATCGTGAGTAAATCTAAAATTTGCCTGAAACCTTGCCCCATTAGGACTGAACAGGAATTTTGATAAAAATAAGTTGAACTCACTGTTGCTAAGAGTTTCTTTGAACATATCTAAAATATCTGCATTAAATAAAGATTAATTCAAATGGGGTACCTTTTTTGAAGTTCGTCTTTACATAGTCTCGAAATGGGTCTACCCAAGATTGAAGATTTTCGATAATATCAGGGCTGTCTTCCAGTGATCGCACTATGTTTCTGATGTTGTGGATTTCGCTGCTATAGTTCAACGAACCGAAGTACACCCCCGCTTCGTGTCCGGCCGTGGGGTAGTGCTCGATCCGTTTCTTCAGGTACGTATGTAAGTGAGTCGATTGAGGTATGAACCATTGGGGATCGAATCGTTGTTCTAGTTTTATTGTACTTTCGATGCTGAAGCCTAGGTATATTACTGTTGTTAGTATTACAATGATCTACAAATTGGGAGGTTGAGAAGGCGACCATGGTATAGTGTTGCCTTACCTTTCCAGGGAGAGTAAATATGATTTTTGAGTAAATGAATCTGAATACACTGTTGGATATTTTGCGCTGACTGCACTCGTTTTTTACATGGTTTTTGTGTGTGTAACAGAATAACGCCCCGTTGCGGTTGGCATATATTCGCTTTTGATCCAGGGTAAAGCAGGCAATGAAGAATGTTATCACAAACACGAATGTCATAAAGACTCCAGCTGCCGCGAAGAGACAGTACGATTGTAAGCTTGGTAAAATCTACGAAGGACAGCTGTTAATTATCTGTAACGGTCATTGGCTACTAACAGTGGATGAACCGATTAAAAATGCCATAACGTCTGTAAGTGTTGTGACTGTTATCGACACCCCCGCATGCTTTAACATGTAACCGATTCGCTGTTCTAATGAGAGTTTCGACTCGGATACCAATTCCTCCCAGCAGGCTGTTATCACAAACATATCATCCACTCCTATCGTAAACAAAGGTTAACTGTGTCAAGACTTGGAGTACCTAAATCATACCCAACCCCATCAAAAGGAATGGCAACGAAGTATGTACAGGACCATAGGAGATACCCACAAGTGAGCAGAAGCCACAACCTACAATGAAGGCCATTCCAACGGATAGCAAACCCATATATCCTAACACAAACTGAAAGACACATTATTATAGCAACATAAACCGGAATGATTTTACCCTCGCTTCCACGCAGTTAAACTTTGATATCACAAATTGCACGTAAAAAATCATAATCCCCACTCCAATGACTAAGATGTCCATGTCTTGAAACATGGATTGCGCCGTCAGATCGCCAAAGCTTCTCGCAGCCGAATAGTAAATTCCGAGATCGGTTCCATTTTTCGTAATGTCTTCAAGCAGCGCGTTAAAGCCGTTCTCCCATTCTAGCGTGCCCAAAGAGGCCTAAAGTACTAAAGGCTAGAATTAAAGAAACGGCTTGGTTGGAGATTTACCCAGTCAGCTGTACCTGCCATGTTACCCGCCTGGTCCATGTCGACAGCCGAAAAGTTAACGTAGGCCATATACAAGGTGTGCAAACTAGTTGCGGACACAATATGCCCGGTTTCATTCCGCACAATCCCTCCTAGTAAATCCTCGTAATTTTTCAAATTACCTAAAATGGGACTGAGGATGGTGGTTGGACTGAGACATTCCATTTGCAAACTCACTCTATTTTATATTTATCAATTTTATCCAGTATGTCCTGTTTTGTCAGCTTATTTAACTTTCTTTCATCAAAATTCCAAAGTTGCAAAAGGTTCCGTTCAAAGCATACGTTGTCGAAACTTTCCAGCAGTTTGCAGTAGGTCGAGGTGCTTAGGTAGACGCTTGGATCAAAAATTTCCATGGTTCCGTTCTTGGATTTGGATGTATATAGAAACTCTAAACTGGAATCCACCTCTGGAATTCTGCAAAGGATTGCACATTATTTACATTTCAACGCGCAGATATATTACTTGAAGCAGATGTCTTCCCATGTAACTCCATCAGAGGTTACAATTGATTTGATTTTTCGGTCCACCCCTAGTATCTGAAATTAGATCGTTCTTTATTTGCTGCGGAATTGTATGTTCCTCGTCTAACTCGAGAACGAAACGAGATAGCGATGCCAAACCTTCGCCAATCGATTTCTACTAGTTCAAGGATCAGTGCTATTGAATATGAGCCGAACTAAAAGTTTGGTTTTCGAATACGAGCTGAAAATCGTATACGATTCTTCGTATCTTGCTGCTTTCAATCACGTCTATCGTCAGATACATAAAAACATGGTAAAGGCGTGTAATTTTACTTATAATAACCTAGGAGATAAAACGTGTGTACATGAACGTAAATTAGCGACCTTCCATTTTTTTAAGTTGTGTTTTATCTTGTTTTATTCTAAATGGACCCATTAACTATATCATTACAGGTGCGGTCAAAGGTAATTAGATTCGATTAATGTTAGGTAAGCATGACCGTGAATCTATTTTATAAGAACATCTCACCTCCTTTAAAACCTCGGGGGTTAAAACATCAGGTGCCTCAAAAAGCACACTTTCCAATCGAAACCCATTTTGAAATTTGCTCATTAACCAGTTAGTATCATGGTAAAAGTCTGACTGTGCTGGCACCCACAATTTCATTGGATTCTTCTCCTGATGAAATCGAAAAAATCCAAAAGCGGATAGTATAACAATCAGCCAACAAATACCAATTGTAGTCCATGGTCTTGATGCTACTTTGAATCCTAAACTGGTATAAGAACAATAAAACAATGCAAGACTAACAAATCGCTCACTTGTAAAAGAAGTACTCGGTAAATGTCACGATGCTGTATGAGAACTTGTCGTACCACTTCACATTGGTCGGTATCTTTTCCGACATGGTTAATTAAGGACTAGTTGAACGTATGTATGTGTGGTTTCATGCTGAATGCTTCAACAGAACTAACAACATAGGTAGAGAGGTTTCGTCATGATGTTAACTTTGATCCATGGCGGTATGCTGAGTCATAGTCTCTTGTTTAATTTTTTATTGATCAAATTATATGGGTCGTAAATTAATCCTGAATTATCGTTAAAAGTACAAAGGTGAGTTAAGTGTTGTTTTAGGTCTAGAGACAAAAAATTCGAGCTACTGATGGCGTTGAAGGACAACTAGTAGTTTTAAGCGTCACGTTCTTTTAGATAGGTGCAAAAATGAATAAATTGCATTTTGAAATTAATCAACCTTGAAAGAATTCCTGTTTAAATTTGGAAAAATTACAATTGATTAGGTAGGTATAATTAATTATTTAAAAATTCACGTACGAACCTGGACGGAAGCAGACTATTACGTTCGTAATTACCTACACCACGATTACGCAGTAGGTAGAGTGATTGAACTTTGCTATCATTCGAAAGAATTAAAAACAATATGTAGATTAGATTTCATTAAGGAAATCTACGCGTAATCACCACCAATGGAGATAGTGGCAAGTTAGTGTTACTTGCACTGTTTTAAATTCCATGCATTTTACCGCGATTTGGTCTTATGGGCCTTAATTTTTGCCAAAATCGTCTGAATTTTTACATAATATGTCTCATATTGCATGGTACAAAGTGAGCGCTTTCGACACTTAATCGAAATTGGTATTTTGGCCATGTGCAACAATGAATGAAATTACGACTCGCGAAAGCCGATCACAAATTTTGAAAAACACGTATTGGGTTCAAACGATTTTTCTTGTGTGTTCGTTGTCACATTGCTCCTTGTTACTTTACCTCGAAATGTTGTCAATAAAATTCGTATTTTTGAAGTGGGGGAGCATTTCTTAAAATATTTCGTACTTTTAAAATTAGAAAGGGCTGAATTTAGACTCTTCTTACACATGCTTAAGCATAAAAAGGATCCGTAAGTGTCTTATAATTTTCGGCCCATTTTGTGCTAATTTATCCTGCTAATTTAATATGTTGTGCCCATCTCAACAATGAGTAGGTAACTTTTCTGAATTCTGATGACACTTCAACATCACGCGGTAGTATTCTGGAAGATGTTTTATATGACTTTAAATCGTTTTGCTAATAACAGGGAATTTTTTGAATGTAATAAATCCCCTAACATATATGGTTTTGTCCGTACTTTTGTGCTCTAAACTGGAATCCACCTCTGGAATTCTGCAATGGATTGTACGTTATTTACATTTCAACGCGGAGATAAACCGGAAAAAAAATTGTCTGAGATCCACCAGGAAAAAAACATTTTCTTATAGATTGCGGCCTGTAGAATCCACAATTTCACACAGTTCCAAGATTGGGCAACTGGTTCAAAAGTTACAGCCATTTGAATTTTTTTTCGAAATTTGTATTAATCCATAACTTTTGATTGAGAGGTCTAATCGAAAAAGTACGAATCGTTTTGGATTTTAGGAAGGAAGGTTATACACTGCCTTTGTCCCAGATCGACCGGGAAAACAAATTTTCTTATAGATTGTGGCCTGTAGAATCCATAATTTCAAACAGTTCCAAGATTGGGCTACTTGTTCAAAAGCTACAGCCCTTTGAATTTTCTTTCGAAATTGGTTTCTAGTCTATAACTTTTGATTGAGAAGTCTAATCGAAAAAGTACGAATTGTTTTGGATTCTACGCACCAAAATTAATAAGAAAAAGTGTTTTCCCGAGAAATTTTGGTGTAGTCGATTTTTGGTAAAAAAGGAAGGTTAACACTGCCTTTTTTTGAGCTCCGAAAAAAAAATGGTCTCAGATCGACCGGAAAAAAATTTTTTCTTATAGACTGTGGCCTGTAGAATCCACAATTTCAAACAGTTCCAAGATTGGGCTACTGGTTCAAAAGTTACGGCCCTTTGAATTTTCTTTCGAAATTTGTCTATAACTTTGGATTGAGAAGTCTAATCGAAAAAGTACGAATTGTTTTGGATTCTACGCACCGAAATTAATAAGAAAAAGTGTTTTCCCGAGAAATTTTGGTGTAGTCGATTTTTGGTAAAAAAGGAAGGTTATACACTGCCTTTTTTTGAGCTCCGAAAAAAAAATTGCTCAGATCGACCGGAAAAAAATTTTTCTTATAGACTGTGGCCTGTAGAATCCACAATTTCAAACAGTTCCAAGATTGGGCTACTGGTTCAAAAGTTACGGCCCTTTGAATTTTCCTTCGAAATTGGTTTCTAGTCTATAACTTTTGATTGAGAAGTCTAATCGAAAAAGTACGAATTGTTTTGGATTCTACGCACCAAAATTAATAAGAAAAAGTGTTTTCCCGAGAAATTTTGGTGTAGTCGATTTTTGGTAAAAAAGGAAGGTTATACACTGCCTTTTTTTGAGCCCCGAAAAAAAATTGTCTCAGATCGACCCGGAAAAAAATTTTCTTATAGAATGTGGCCTGTAGAATCCATAATTTCAAACAGTTCCAAGATTGGGCTACTAGTTCAAAAGTTACAGCCCTTTGAATTTTCTTTCGAAATTGGTCTATAACTTTTGATTGAGAAGTCTTATCGAAAAAGTACGAATTGTTTTGGATTCTACGCACCAAAATTAATAAGAAAATGTGTTTTCCCGAGAAATTTTGGTGTAGTCGATTTTTGGTAAAAAAGGAAGGTTAACCACTGCCTTTTTTTGAGTTCCGAAAAGAAAATTGTCTCAGATCGACCGGAAAAAAGTTTTTTCTTATAGATTGTGGCCTGTAGAATCCAAAATTTCAAATAGTTCCAAGATTGGGCTACTGGTTCAAAAGTTACAGCCCTTTGAATTTTCTTTCGAAATTTGTATTTAGTCCATAACTTTTGATTGAGAGGTCTAATCGAAAAAGTACGAATCGTTTTGGATTCTACGCACCAAAATTAATAAGAAAAAGTGACACTAGACACTGGACCCATGACCCATGACCTGGAGCAAAACTTAGGCGGTGTGGAGTGTAAGAATGGTACAAACGACTACTGTGTAGTTAAATTTTCTTTTAAAAAAAATGCATTTATTAGTGATAGGCTATACGAGAAGTGTATTATATTATTCTTTCCCTTACCAAATTTGCCGAAGATATCCACACCACATTTAGTTAAATTTAATGTTGCCATACAAATTGGATGGGATTGCAATGATTTGTAAAGATACGAAACGTGTAGTGTGTAAAATAACTAAGAGGTAGACACGCAGCCAATTAGGTACTATTAATTAAATTTTCCCGATTAAAGGCATCGCTTAATTAACCAATCCCACTAACCCATAAAACTGCGTTAATAGTTAATATAGTGGCGCTGCCAAATCTGCACTGAAAATTATAATATGTAAAATCTGTGGGCATCTGCCCTATGCCATGTACACAGAATGAACGCGAGATGAAAAAAAAGGTACGGAAAGTTTACTTAGCATAATTCTAAAGTGAGTATCCGTGACCTAGATAACGACTTTATTATTGTGGGTAATTCATTCCTTAGATACTTACGTTAATCATTGCTCACGTACAAAGTTTCCCATAAAAAATTAATTGTCACCATCTTCTTATGTTCTTGTTGCAAGTACCCACCTATAAAAAGGTATGCAAGTTCATACAGCAGGTACAGCGAAACGCAATTCTGTACCTACTTAGCATGAAATAGATCAATTTTGTGTACGGTCATTAATTTTTTATTCAATGATACGGTGAAGTCAATTAAAGGAGCCCTCTTGGGATCGGAAGACCAATGAACTCGTTTAATGAAAAACCTTTGTATTTATGTTAATTATTTAGAGCGGATATTGTCAAACTTTGTTCGTGGGCTAGGCGTTATCATTGTTTATGTATTAGATACAATGGCGTTATTAACCAACGACAAAAAGCGGTTTTATATGATTTTGGACTTTCTGTTCGTCCGTCTGTCTGTTGACTCGGGAGCGGTTTCCAATTTTCCAATTCTGCTTGCAGTAGGTAATAGGTAGACCGTAGACAATGGTCAAGGGACTAACATGATTAAATGTTGGTCATGTGGATTTTCTGTCCGTCTGCTTGTGTACATGATAACTCGCGAACGGTTTCGAATGGTCAAGAGACTTACTGATCCATGCTCGTCAACTGGAAATCACTTTGTTGCTCGTTGTCCCTATTGGTATGCAGATTATTATTATTGTAAGTGTATAATGTTCAAGTAAATGTATAATTCCGGTCGTATCCAGGACGGCGCTCGCATGTTACAGCACAATTTTGAATAACCACAAAACCGAGCACAAAACCATTTATAAATATCTGATTTTGAATACACATGCTGGGTACCTTATTACTATTTGTTTGTTGCTCCTATAAAATTTTATAGGAACAACTTTAATGATGGTTTCAAGCTAATTGTAACCATCGTATTTTTCTGGTTTAGAGTCTAGTGCAAGGTGACTTTCTGAATTCTGGTGGATCTTGTGGAATGGAGCATGATGCGCGTCGGCCAATTTTAAAAACATATTGGCCTCTTAATTGGAATAAAATTATGTAACGACAGCAAAATCGCGAAAATTCTTCAAGAAAATTCTCAAGACTTTTGCTATTTTATTGAAAATAGGCAGTGCATGTCTAATGGCGTTTTGTGCTACGAAATGGCAACATGCGGTTCTAGACTAATTCGACACCGCTGAAAACGATGCATCCTGTTGCATGACACGATTTTGGCATTTAAGCCAAAATGGAGCCTTCAGCAGCCTCATTAATTGAATCGAACGTGGTGTTTTAAACTCACCCTCGATATCTAGAAATGCGTATAGTGGTCTAAGGACCAGTACTTCATTCCTCATACCTTCATACCTTTCTTTACCTTTCGGGGATATACCCTAACGCTAAGGAGGCTACAAAGGGGTGCAACGAATATAAGAGCAGCGGATGCAGGCCCTTCTGCAGAAGAGTCGGGAATATCCCGTCCGGTCCTGCACTCTTAAATGGTCTGAAGGTGCTGATCGCCCATCTCAGAAATCCCTCGGTGACCACTAACCACCCGGGCAGCTACTTTGCATTACATCGACCCCGGATAGCTCCTTTTGGTGGGTCCGAAGTTACGTAGTCCCCAGAGCCTGGAAAGTGTGTTTCTAGGAGACATATGTGCGAGCCTCACCTACCGTGGGCGTACGTATATCTAACGCATGGGAGCCTCAGTGTCCACACTTTTTGCCCCGGGTATTTCAAAAGTATCTTAGGAGGATTTGGAACTTAATTCAGGAAGACCCTCCATGTTACCACAGAAGGTCCTCCATGATCCACGCTTAGACTTTCGAATATGGTCCTTATATCTGCGCTCAGCGATATTAAAATCTTTCCGGTGCGTAGGCAGCTTAGTTCGTGCGACTCTATAAGGAGCCTACGAACCTCCTTACGGACCTTTTTGAGATGTGCGAGTTCCACTAAGGTGGTGAATGACAGAGGAGCCCTGTCCATCGCAACGGCACTGGGTCCCGCTGCTCCGGTGAAGCCTTGTCCCGTACCCGACGCAGCACTATTGATTTCGTCACAAAAGTGACGTGCGAGACCCCAGCGTGCACGTGAAAGTTCGGCCGGTGGAGTGCCCGATAGGACGCCACATCGGGCCCAAATGCGAGGAAGACCCCTGCGTAAGAACGTCCTCCATAGGCTAGTCCTGCCAGGATTTTGTCTCTGGTTGCCCTGCGACACATGCCTCTGAACTCCCAGAAAGCCATCCCAAGGGCTAAATAAGAGGGACGGTCATCTCCAACCAGTCCAAGGTCCACTGGTCCTCGCATATATTCGGCCACCAATGGCACCCTGCTGATTCCAGCGGGACCTTGCCAGTTAATGCAGCCACAATGCACCTCGACTGAGGATTAGTGTTGACCACCTCCAGGTGCGTCACCGCAACAACTTATTTGCCCTGGTTCGTGGTGCACTGGCAACTTTGGGTATTCCCAGAACCTTTAGAGGCTTCTTCTCAGGCTGCCCTGAGTCAGATCCTGGAGTGTGCTTCTCCCCGATCTGACATACTTTTGGTACCTGAAGTTGAGTTATTTACTTATTACCTACCCTCCTGGCCCAATGTACGACGCAGGGCCCGCTTGACCCGAGGTTTATTACCCTCGAGTTTGGCTATCGCCTACTGTGAGCCAGTCCTATTCTTCTTGCGAATAACTAATGGCCCACTACCAGGTCCTGCGTTGGAAAGTCAAAATTCAAATCTGCTTTCGCCAGTTGTACCTTCCATAATATGAGAATGAATAAAAATGTCGCTAAAGCTCAATTACCTACTTACTATTGATTCAATTTATTCTCTATAGTTACATATTGGTACCCATGGTATAATATTGTATACCGTGGTACAGATAGACAGACTGACATAATTGAAATTTCGTTTGATTCGGATTCCTAGTGCTCTAAAACGTGTACCTATTTCTGTAAAAAGGTGAGGGTTATTTTTTACCCCAATGCAAATACCTCCTTTTGTGCGCGGGTGGTAAAAATAGCGCCACCTAGAGTTGAACACATACCTAATTCGCAGGATTGTAATTTATAATGCATTCTACCATTGACTAATACACTTAGTCAATTCTACAGAAAAGGCCCCGAACGATCTCAGACAAGTGTTTTTTGACTATGCCTCTCAATTCTACCAAAAAACGATTTGTCTAAGATCGACTTAGATATAGTCTTTTCCTTTATAGAAATTGTTCTGGACGTACCATTCAAGACAGCCAGAATTTTCAAGATTGAACAACTACCTACATCAAAAGTTCTGGAAACAGCATTTTCCATGAATTAAGAGGCAAGAGACCACAGTTTTGCATGCAAAGAATTTTATTCTCAAAAGCAATCCTAATTTATAATTGCTAGTGAGGATCCTCCAAGACTTATTCCTTTCTCTGCATCCATCTTTTCAACTGAGAAAGCTAGCAAGTGGATAGAAGATAGAAGTAATGACTGACACAACAATAATACACCTCAAAATTTAATTACAAATTTTGCTTCATTAACCAATATTTTATAGCATTTACATAATCTCCATGAAACCTAATATATCTTGCAAATTCATTAACTTGCGACCGAATGGGTCGAATATCTTGAGGCTGAATGAAATCCCTTAATTGCTTCTCCAGTAGCCAAATATCGCCTTGTACGTTTCTCACTTTCGTTACTCTCCGAATACCACGCTGACCTAAGCATAGGTATACTGGTAACATGTGATTTTTGGTTCTCGGAACGAAGTACGGCCTATCTTTCACGTCATCCGTTTGGGGTTTCCACTGAGAGGGATAACGGTCTTTCGGGACGGGTGCGGGGACGATAGTTGGAGGCAAAGCACGTTCGACGTAGCTCCATTCTTCTGGAGAAGTTGAAGTTTCAAATTTGATTTTGGTGTTTTGGTGATCTACCAAGAAGGGTGAATCGTAGAAGCTTATAGATCTCGGCTATAACAAATTGTTAGTTTTTTAATTCTGTGTGGCAGTAACTCACTTTAGTGCAAAGGGCGGTTGGTTTGTTTAAGGAACATAGACGGAAAAATTTATTTAAAGCTAACATTTTGACTATTTGAGGGTTATGTTTACCCCAGAACAGTTGTTCTATGATGTTTACCACAAAAGTCAGGTTATGGTGTATTAGCTGCGTTCATAAACGCGTTTAGGAAGCAACCAATGATTTATGTTTTTGACTATTTCATGGGCGTGCTAGTAAACATTCGTTTACGGCGGTCCCTCTTACAAGTGTACCTTATTGATTTAAATACTCAGAACAGAACAACTATATTTAAACATCTTACTTTCGAATTCGCAATTAAATGTCTCGCATCATAAATGTTAGAAGCATACCTATTAAGCTAAAAGGACAGTGAATGAAGTTTACCAAATCGAGGACAAGTTTTCAAGAATTGAAATTTGTCCATCGAATCAAAAAATTAAGTTTGTAGTATGTTTCATTTTTCAGGTTGCTTTACTACCACAGCTCGCCCATTGAGTTCTAACCCATAAAATTAAACCCAAGTTGCCCTTATAAGTTAACTCGTGAACTTTTTGCAAAATTCTTCTCAACTTCCTCCAAAGTGTTTTCTCAGTTCTCACCAAATTATCTTCACGTTTTCTTCGAGCTTGAAATTCATTGTTCCTCTCAAACATTCTCGCAAATTCATTTGAACCTTGAAGTTCTTCATCGCGCACATATACACCCCATTTTTTAAACTAGTGAAAAATGGTGCGTGTGTAATGAGTTATGCTTTGAAAATTTACAAATGCGCGGCTGAATTATGGGCATGAAAAATACTATAAGATCAAAAATGAGTTTGCAATCGATCGGAAAAGTGTTGACTTCCAATTACATGATTAGTATTACCATTGTATATTTACTATCAAAATAATCTAATTGATAATCTAAAGAGAGGCAATACTAGCTAAACTATTTTCCTTTCTATACGATTTTTGATGATTTTGTCAAAAGTTTTACACGTTATGTACCAAGTAACGTTCGTATTTTTGTTCATGGGAATGAGAAAGGCAGGAAAACGCAAGAAAATTGGTAATTAAACCTCTGTATCTAAAATGAACGGCGCCCTTTGAACGGAACGAGATCAAAATTGTTGTTAATCCGTTAAGGGTTCATAAAATCTATACATTCTGCTGCTGTTGTTCATTGTTTTCATTTGTTGCACCACACATTCGAGAGAAAGTGTCTGCAACAACATTTTGTTTTCCGGGTCGATAAATGATATAGTAGGAGTAACAACTAACAAGAGAGCTCCAACTTCCAACGATTAATTTTTTCGTTATAAATTTGACTTGAATGTATTGTAACGTAAATTTAATTACGTCGTTTATTTATTTATAACTAATTAACAATAAACTTATAACAGTCATAAAATCGATTAATTTATAACAGTCATTATTATTTATTACTCACGAATACACAAAAGTATGACGGCGTGAACCATTTATCAGTTCGGCGTTCTAATTGCAACTGGAGTCCAGTTACTGGACTGTAACGCAATCTGATTTGCTTATATAACAAAGTCGAAGCTTCTCGAGCGATCGCGAACATTCGAGAATAAAACACGTCATCAGCTCTCGTACGTTATCGCCGATGACTAATCTTTCATGGCGCCTCGATGTGTATGGAAATTTCCGGAACGTTCGCTATAGTATCAAACATAAGAGGAGATAGGTACTGACCTTTGATCCGTTATTAATTAGCAATTCTGTTCATTTTCTCGGAAAATCGCCGAATCCACTTAGAATAATGCGAAAACATGCCCATTACTCTTTGAAGCGAGTCAGAGTGCAAGATTAGTAATGGTTTTAACCTTAGAAAGATCTGGTTGCCTAATAGTCTAATGACTTTGGCTTGAAGGCAGATACTGGTTATTGGTTAATAATAAGATGCGTTTTTTAACTGCTTCAAGAAAAGAAGACAAATTCTGTTGATCGTGTTCTTTTAGAATTTCAATTTAAGTAAGTTTCAGAACTTGCAGTACCTATCTATTAGAGCTACAGCAGCAAAGTTGTTCATTTGCACTTCGCCAGCTGCATGTGAAAGGCATCCGGGTACTGACGCCAATTTTTGTGGAGACTACAGTTTTACGATTTGACACGACCTTGCCAAATGTCCTTTTTTCCACATTGACATTGATTACATAGACTGTAACTGCAGGAGAAGTGGAACGAGCATGTTTTTTATTTCCGCAGAACGTGGCACTTACGACTACATTATGATAAAGAGTAACCCTACTCATGTTTGGGGTACATATCATCCAATAACTAATTGGGGACGGATGAAACTGTTCAATTCACTTATTAGTGAGAATGACTGGACTTCCTGTGTCCTGTGTATTTCCTGATGCCTTTAAGAAGACCAATCTGCTGCAGAATCATCAGTTTGGATCTCGATCTACAACAGATGCCATTATCTGCTTTGGCTAATATACATTGGAGTCTTTCGAGTATGGCCAATACTGTCGGGCAATATTTATAAACTGAAACATTTGCACAATTTTGACAAAGAAAGTATCCTCCTGATTAAGTCGTATCTATTTCACAGATTCCAAACAGTTTGAAGAAACAACCAGTACAGTGTCTGCAGTGGAATATTGCAACAACAGCCGCCTGCGTATCAACATCTCCAAAAATTTTAAATGGGAAGGAGTAGTAAATGTTAGATAGGTCGAAAGGAATGTTCATTATGTTTTCAGATAAGTGTACAAGCAATGAAGCGAATTTGTTTAATTTTGTGGTAAATTCAAAAACAATGACGGTTTAAGCTGGATTCACATGAATACGAAATCCGACGATACGGTCATCCGAAATGCTTATGATTGGTCAATAATTTGAAATGTCACAAACTATTGACCAATCATAAGCATTTCGGATGACCGTATCGTCGGATTTCGTATTCATGTGAATCCAGCTTAACACTATAGCGCAAAGGGTGGAAACTGTATCGATTTTTTTTAAAATGCGGCGATTCTGCCTTCACAAATTCGCTTCATTGCTTGTGCACTGTGTCGTTTCACTGTCTCACAGTTTTCTGTCTTACGCCATAAGTACTTGGGGAAATCATCTCTGCTGGAAACGACTATTTAAAATTCAACGCCGATCCGTAGTCTCATTTACTCGTTACCTCCAGTATTAATGAAACACCACTTGCACCATCAAATTAATAAACTCCGCCTTCTTTAAAAAAATTTCAAATAACTCACCAATCAACAACAGAACGCGCCCACTTCTCCAGTATGAAACGCACAATTCTTCAAAACATCTTATCTCTTAACAGCGATAAAACACGTGCGTTGATTAACTTTTGACTGAAAAAGTGAACGACCAGATGTGTCTTACACCTTTCAATAAATTGCAAACGCCATAAAACTTCATTATCTCAACAATTTCAAATCCTACAATAGGTAGGTACTTACATCCTGTTCTTCTGCAAGAAGGGACACATACAAAATTGATGTTGTTCACAATTGCGAACACCAGTAAATAACTGATTTGGAAAACGAAATCTGGCTAATAGTGACTGACCATTTGCTCACTGAAGTAAAATAGCTAAAATTTAAATAATTGTTTATTTCTATCTTTGTTGACTTTTAGTTAAAAAAATATATACATAGTCTTTATAGTATAGGAAGATGTTACTTAACAAGTACAATTTACAAAATAATACAAAAATATGGCAAGATACTGAAATCCTTGATACAAGGTTCATAAAAGTTGTACAAATTTATTTACGAAAGTCTTAAAAATGCATAAATATTACTAAATCAGTCACTTTTGCTATACATACTCTTCTGAAGGTTTTGGGGCATTTGTAAGCCTGAGGGCGGACGGCGATCTACCGTTCACGGAGTCGGGCAGTTCGGCAATGTCTTTAAATACACCTACGAGGCTCTCAAAATTCGGGCCCCAATTGAGCAAATAATCCCAGCTTAATGCTGTCGTCGAGGGCGAACCCGTCGGCGGCCTGTACAACGGCCCTCCAAGTTCATCGTCGGAAGCTACTAAGGTACTCATCGATCCGCGATACGACGAATCGAATCCGTCGTACGAAGCGCTGGGAATGGGGTTTTTACTGCTGGAGCTGGAATCGTTCCGTCGCGCTTCGGAATCGTTCTGCTTGTACTTGTCACCCGGCAAGCTGGCGTTGTCGTATTCTATTTCGGAACATGTGAAACTGTCATTTCCGCTTTCGTCGGTGGTGGAACTGTGGTGGATTTCAGGAACTGGAGAATGTTTCATGTGTGACAAGTGATTAGCACCGGTCGCTCTAGGAGCTTCACTAGAACTTGAAACGGCATCTAAGGTAGATACTAGGCTAGACGTTCGTGGTCTAGAATTTAAGCGTTCTATGTCTTCCGCAGTAAGCCCCATTCCTGGAGATGAAGCGGTAATGGGAGGGGGCGCACCGCCTTTATGACTACTTGAACTTTGTCCACTGAGTTGGGACATAACTGGACTATTTAAACTACGTTCACTATTACTATGTAAAACGTCTTTTCCTACGCCACCCGAACTTGAGGTGGTGGCGAGGAGCGCACTTTGCAACGGTTTCCCACTAATATCGTGCAAAGTGAGAATGCGCGGTTGCTGAGCACTCATCTCGCTGCTCGGGCTTAACCGTGCGAGTGGAGTGCTTTGGTGTGGCCTTGAAGCCGGACTAGTAACAGGGGGTGCCCGAGGCGGAAATCCTGCAGGATGGTGAGGCGAATGTCTGTGCTGAGCTTGCGTTTGCGGAGCGGTGTGTTTGTGATGATAACTGCTGACGGGAGGAGGCGTCGCCTTGTATTTTCGTACCCCTCCAGCCTCTCTGAATCCCTTGTAATGGTACACTATGTCGATATCCGACGGAGCAATCGAACTGGCGTTTTCCAAATCGTAATGTTCCGGAATTTCCGAGTTTAAATCCGTCGGCACGTGATCATGTGAGTGATTGGTAATTGGAGGTAGAGGGGGGTGATCATCGCGAAGAGGAGGATTTTTCACCACTTCGCGTTCAATAATGTCTGGCCTTTGTGGCCTTTGAATTTCATTTTGAATTATTTCGCGATCTTTGAATTTTTTCGATAAAAGCTCTGGGCCGACTAAATGATGTCCAACGCCTCTGATAATGTCGCCGTTCTCAACGTGGTAACCCAAAGAATTGTCATTGGCGTGAAGGGGCCGTCCCAAAATATTTTCGCTGACCGGATTCACATGTCCATTGCTTCCACCGTTTTGTTTACTGTGCACACCCGCTGGACTCCCAGGAGAGCCCCCTTTTTCTTTGTTTTGCTTCCGAAGACGAAAGACAACGAACGATACTAAGATAGCTACTAGTAAAACTACGAAAAATACAATTACGAGAGTTATTCCTATGCTCAATGGATCTGACGTCGCCGCAGTGCCTACGCCTATAGGTCCGTTGCACTCTTTAGTAACTTTACCCCTGAGAATTATTTCACTAAATATACTTCCAGATCCATTAAACGGTTGTACTTCATTATTTATGCTAAAATTGGCAAGGCATCCTTCAAATGCGTCGGGTAGCACACTTGCTACGTGGTAAACTGTCTTACTTGCACCACCGATAGATATATACGTTAAGTATGGGTCGAGGAAATCGTGGACTCCTGCGGAATCAAGTTCATCACCTATTCGATGTCCGTCCACAAGAATTTCCAGCCCATGGACGTGCGAGCGCAAAGTCAAGTTATGCCACTGACCATCCGTTACACTACCCAATGTATTTGTCATATTTATTAAAGTCGATAGTTTGCTTATATACACTACTTGTCCATTGATCAACTCCACGGAGGTAAAATGCTTATTCGTCGCCGCGTAAAAAATAATTCCGCTAGCACGCACAGTCCTGAACAACACACTAACACTTTTCACTGGTGAACTATAACTTGGACTAGAAGTATTACGTACAGTTGAACGAGTTTTGCGTTTCTGCTGCCAAAGAGTCGATCCGCCGTAGAGCGTCTCCAAAAGCTGCATGCGACGATGCTTCTTCGAAATGATAAACTCCACGTAACCGCCGTCGCTAATACTGATAGGCTGAAGAGCAAGTCCGCAATTCGGCGCGATAAGGTCGCCGCCGCACGTGCAGCTCACGGAATTCCAGTGGTCTATGCAGGCGCCGAAATTTGCGCAGACGTCCGGCGCCGAACTCTCGCAGGAAACCTTGCGATTGCAGGTGTTCACGATTCCCGCCGACTGAATCGGATTGCTCAGGTTTAACTGGCGGCCGTTCACCGAGACGCTGTGAACGCATCCGACGAGATCGTCAGAGCGAATTTGTCCTGGTCGTTCTAAAATTGGGTCGGCAGTGTGTAAGCCTCCAATGAGAAGGGGTTCGTTGTTGAAGTTGAGCGTTCTGAAAGTAAAAGTTCGCAATTAATTCACTTGGCATGTTAGATGGTAAGAGGTGCAGTTTCTTCGATATGATCAGATTGAAGAAGAGGGACTGCGTGTCCTACTTAGTTACTGACAATTTTTGCTGTTTCGTTCGAGCTTCCACATCCCCATCCGCGAAGCCTACTGACCAAGGAAGCAAGACGCAAAGACGAGAAGCATGACGTGACCGAGGGAAAGTGGTTAGTTCTGCGGATGTGCAACAGAAGAAATGGGGTTTAGAGGGGACCGCCCTTCAGTGTGAAATCTAGTGGGATAGCGAGGGAATGGTATGTAAAATGTGCTAAACCATTTCGGAAGAATGAAGGGATCACCAATCTGAACATACATATGTATACATGCCTACCCCCAGTGCCGGATTTAGTTCATGGACCGCCGGGGGCTAAGTCATACTATACCGCCCTAGATACCGCCAGTAGGTAGGGAAAAAAAAGTTGAATCTTGGTTTATTTTTTGTATTACTTTATTTAATTTTTGTTGTTTTACTAACTTTTGTCGTTTCCAAAATGCACCTCCTTCTTATCCGCTCATTTTTAGAAACTTCACGAAACACTCCTCTAATAAATGAGTAAAATTGTATTGACGTAACAGAATTGACGACAAGCCGGCGTGTCAGAGTCGAACACGCTGGCGGTTGGCGCCGAGACAAAACAATACTCAACTCAAGTTTAAATAAACCCCTAAAGTGGGTCTAAAAAAGCGACAGAGCACCTCGGTGTGACCCTACGGGGTTATTGGATAATGAATTCGACCCCTTTTCAATTGACTTGTTACATGTGGTATATGGTAGGGTGGCTCACTGAAAACAGTAATGCCAATTTTGCCAACCTAACGACAGTTTTGCCAGAAACGCTCGAACACGTCAATTTTAGTTTTGAGGGGGACACCTAAATTAAGTAATACTACTTACATAACTTTAACCCTGAAAAGGGGGTGAATTGCACCCAAAAAATTTTAAATGGGAAGGGGTAGTGAATGTTAGAAAGGTCCAAAGGAATGTTCATGATGTTTTTATAACTGTTTTTATTTTTCAAATCCGATCAGTAGTTCCAGAGAAAACTCGATTTAGTAGGCGTTGAAGTTGAAACAATTTAGAGCTTGTGTCAGAAAGGAACATCTGACATAAGTGCAATAAATGCACAAGCAAGGAAGCGAATTTGTGAAGGCAGAATCGCCATTTAAAAAAATCGAAACAATTTCCACCCTTTGCGCTATAGTGTAAACCGTCATTGTTTTTGGATTTACGGATTTACCACAAAATTAAACCAGTTAATCACAAATTCGCTTCATTGCTTGTGCACTTATTGCACTGTCAGATGTTCTTTTCTGACACAAGCTATCAATTATTTCAATTTCAATTTAATAAACATTTAAAACGGCTCTGCAAATCCATTTAAATCGAGTTTTCTCTGGAAATACTGATCGGATTTGAAAAATAAAAACAGTTCTGAAAACATAATGAACATCCCTTTCGACTTTTCTAACATTTACTACCCCTTCTCATTTAAAATTTTTGGGGTGCAATTCACCCCCTTCTCAGGGTTAAAGTTATGTAAGTAGTATTACCTACTTAATTTAGGGGCCCCCCTCAAAACTAAAATTGACGTGTTCGAGCGTTTCTGGCAAAACTGTCGTTAAGTGGGCAAAATTGGCATTGACTGTTTTCAGTGGGCCACCCTGTATATTAACTGTGCAAAGTTTGAACCGAATAGGAACAATCGTTTGACAGAGACCGAGAGGCGTGACCCTGCGGGGTCATTGGATTTGACCCATTTTCAATAGACTTGTTGCGTGTGGCATATAAGTCTACTGTGCAAAGTTTCAATGGAATAGGTTCAAGCTTTTGACAGGGACAGAGAATCGTGACCCCACGGGGTCATTGGATTTGACCAATTTTCAATATGCTTATTACTTGAAGCATATAGCTCAACTATGCAAACCAAATCGGTCCAAGCGTTTGACAGTTAACGTGTTCACGGACGGACGGACAGACGGACACCATGATCGACTCCCCTATAAAGCCTGCATCGTTTTGCTCTGCAGCTTAATAAAGCGACCCTTTGTCGTTTGTCAGCAACGTGTATATTTCCCGAAAACATGAAACGTGTTTTTACTAGGGTTTTTGTGCGACTCAGCGACCTGCTACCGCCGGGAGCCCGAGCCCGGCATCGATCTTATAGGTGAAAAGACGAAGTTTTATTACTATGCTATTTCAGAAACTTAACCCCATAAATTAAATATCTACATTTAGAATTAAAACGTGATGGGAGCGACGACGTACCGCCTCTCAAAATTTACCGCCGGAGGCTAATAGTCCCATAGCCCCCCCCCTAAATCCGGCACTGCCTGCCCCCTTGATTACCGCCACTTGTACAATTTAAAAAAACCCTGCAAACATAGCGTACCCGTACAGATTTTTTCGAAATTGGCAATTTTAAGTGAAACATTTTGGATTGGTTTATCAAGAAAAGAATGTTTATCGATTCGTCCCCTTGGCCACTCAATTTTGTTGATATACCACGTATTTATAAACCATAGTAAACAAAACCAGTCGCCATCTAGAAACCTAAGGGATGAATTTTGAGGTACTATTTTGAAAATGAGGTCCTGATAACCCCTTAGGTTTTGAGGGGTCGATCACGTTTTTGGTTCCGAAAATAACAATGGGTTTGTGTGTTGGGGGTGTGCGAAAAGTTGGTTATGGGAATATGCACACTTTTTAGGCTCGATTTTTGTACATGTTGATATAGAATAGGTACTTACCCTGCGGGACCGATTTCATCCGCATAACAAGACGAGTCACCAGGTCGGCATTCTTCACAAACATCCCCATTCTCGACGCAGGTCCCAACACTCAGCGAGACCACTCTACCATTTCGCGTCGCCGTAATTTTATGCCAGTTTCCGTTGGCCAAACTGCTAGACTTTCCACCTACTGTTACCGATGTGATGGCCGTTCGTGCGCCACCAAACGAAAATACCGCCTTGCCATGTATCAGTTCCAGTGCGACAAAATCGCTTCTACCTCCGCTTTGGGACCCGTAATTGTATACCAACAAGGAATCTTCTTTTGTGGTGGCAAAGATGAACGATATGTCGTTTGTTGCGGCGTCAAGAGATGGGAACATCATATACGACAACTCCTGGAAGCCAAAGGTAGATTTTTCGCAGTGTCTTCCATAGCGGCCATCCGAGCAGCTGCACTTGTAACCCGGTTTGAGGCTGACGCACAGCCCCCCGTGAAGGCAAGGGTTGGGTCTGCACGAATCGACCAACGCCTCGCACTGGTTGCCGCGGTATCCCAAACGGCACAGACAGAAAAACGTGCCGTCCGAACTCGCGCGGCAAGAACCGCCGTTTTGGCACGGATTGCTCGAGCACGCATCGCCCCGTTCCGATTCGCAAAATCGCCCATCGCGCGACGGCGGGCAGGCGCACTGGAAGTTAAAGCCTTGACGCCTACATTGGCCACCTGACTTGCACGGGTTCGGAATGCAAGGATCCTGCCGCTTGTCGCAATTCTGCCCAGTGAATCCGTCGACGCATTGGCAGGCGTAGGTGTGACTCACTAACGGAGTAGTGAACACCAAGTTCGGGCTGTCGAAAATTCGCGTTGTTTTATGAATCGAAATGTCCGAAGTGCAAATGCCTCGATTTTCGCATGTGCCTACCGAGCACGGTGTGTAGCCGATGGTAACTGAAGAAGTCTGCAGTATACCAATTAGGAATTCCTTTTTGCTCTCCAGCTTCTCCAGGGTGTGCGATTTCGGTTTGTATGCCGAAAAAGTTTTGATCGCCAAAGTGAGCTCGACCGCTTCTTTGTTTTCGTTTAACCCGTACAACAATAAGGACTCGCCGGGGGAGAGGGTGCTCTTTAGAAAGTCGACAAGACCTCGGTAGATGTGAGTTAGAAAGTATTGCGCTGTCACGTTGTCAACCCTTAATGTAATGGAATTCTCAACGGTTTCATTGGTGAATACTGAAAATTCGACTGTCACCGACGATGAGACGTCGCCGTGTTTGCCATCATTGCCAGATACCGACAGTGAGTAACCCTGATTTGGTGTGATACGAGAGGCGTGCAAATTACAGCCTGAAGATATACTAAGAACTCCATTGCTGGTATCTTGCAAGATTCTGCATCTGTAGTCTCCCTTTATGTCTGGATCATTAGGGTGCACATCTGCTATGTTTCCAAGGGGGAAAGCGCCGTTGAAGGTGTGAACCAGCACGTGCACAGATCTCGGGCTGGACGGGCTATCATTTTGATCTAAGATGTTAATTTTTACATTTGACTGGGATTTCATTTTCGGAGTGCCACTATCTTCAACTTCAATGATAAAGTTGAGAACTGGGGTATTTTCTCTGTCGATCATCTTTGTAGTTTGCACAACGCCTGTGTTTTTATCCACCTTTACATAGTCCCGGTGTTTCCCTCCAATAATTTTGTACATGAAGGGCGCGCCATTTGGAGGCAAATCTGGATCCTTGGCCGACAGTGTCATGACGCTGGTGTTAGGCGGTTCGTTCTCGGAAATGGAACCAATCACATCCGCTGGATCAAATACAGGCCCGTTGTCGTTAACATCACCAAGTTGCACTTTGACCGTAGCCGATCCGGTTTGTGGTGGCACCCCTGTGTCGATGGCGCCAACGATCAAATTGTAAACCGGGATAGTTTCCCGGTCCAAAACGCGCGTAGTTTCAATTTCACCAGACTGTGGATCAATCTTAAACGCTTGGTCGGTGTTGCCCCCAATGATGGAGTAGCTAAACTGATTATTTTGCGGGCGAACATCTTTATCGACAGCTTTGACCATGACCACCTTAGAACCGACGACTGCATTTTCGAGAATCTTCGTCTCGTAGAAGCGCTGAAGAAACTCTGGCGGATCGTTTCCATCCTGCACGGTAATTATCACCTGAGCTTCGTCGGTGTCATTTCCGCGTATTCCACCAGAATTCTTCGCCATCACCGTCAGCACAATTCGACTTTGCGTTTCACGATCCAAGTGCCTCGAAATTGTTATGATACCGCTCTCCGCATTGATGTTGAATCCTTTGTCGTTACTCGAACCGACGAACAAGTAGTACACCCTTCCATCTTTCCCCGAATCTTGATCGGTCGCCTGAATCACACCAATACTCGTTCCGATCTCCGTACTTTCCGAAACCTCAAAGTGGAAGACTGGCTGAATAAACCGCGGGTAATACTCGTTAACGCCGATGATTCGAATGAGTACCTCCGTCGTTCCGTACATTGCCGAATCAGGGTTCGCCGCGACAACGTTCAAATTGTAAAACGACTCCTCTTCGTAATCGAATTTTACTTTAGCGGTGATGACGCCGGTCTTCGAGTCTATGGCGAACACCTCCCTTCCGGAACCTCCAGATATTGAGTATTGTATTATCGCGTTCTTCGGGGAGTCTATGTCGGTCGCGGTGAGGCGATACACAAAGCTGTTGATTGGCTGATTTTCCGCGATGTAAGCGTCGTAGGTTGATTGATTGAACGTGGGCGCGTTGTCGTTGATATCGGTCAAGGTGATGCGCAACATCGCGACGGCCTGGTGGGGCTTGAATCCCAAATCCTGTGCGGTAATATTCAGGTGATACTCTTGGATTGTGTCATAATCTAAAGGTTGCAGAATGGTGATGGAGCCGGATATTGGATCGATCGCAAACTCTTTTCGCTCATTTCCCGCCGATATGTCGTAGCGAATCATGCCGTTCGGGCCTTGGTCGTTGTCAGTTGCGCTAACTGTGAGGATAGTCGAGCTGAGCGGCTCATTTTCTGGAACTATCACCTGGTAGCTCAACGCGGTGAATATCGGACTAAACTTGTTTTCGCCAGACACCACCAAAGTGACGGTCACCTCGTCTTGTTGAGGCGGCACGCCTCTATCCGTTGCAAGAATCCGCAGCTCGAAAATGGTACCGACCCCTCGGATTTGTTTGAGTAAACTAATCCACCCGTTGAGTTTATCGATGGCGAAGTACGCCGTCCCGTTTCCTCCGACCACCGAGTACTCAACCTCCGCATTTACGCCGTAATCCAGATCATCCCTTGCCGTTACTTTAATTAAACGTTGACCTTCGCTCGCTTCTTCGGGTACAGGTGTTAAATACTCCTGCTGTTCGAATTTTGGCATATTATTATTCGCATCGACCACATTTACGATGACCAAGCACTCCGAAGACATCGGGGGCTTTCCGTTGTCCGTCGCCAAAACCGTTAAGGGGTGCATGTTTTCCGGCGAAGAATCGCGCTGGGTGTGTTTATACTTCAAGGTACGTTTGCTGAAAAGCTCTCCCGAGGCCGGATCGATCGTGAACAAGTCGGACGGTTGTTGAAGGGAGTAGCTGATCACAGAGTTCGGTCCTTGTTTGTCCCTATCAGTAGCAGTCACCTGCCCAACAAACACAATGTCGCGTTGCAGCTCGGGAAAATTAAAGCTGTAGTAGGAGTGCTCGAATTCAGGCGCGTTGTCATTTTGATCTTGTATCGTTATAGTTAGGGGAGTTTCGGCTCTCCACGCGCCATCTACAGCCGCCACTTTCAGTAGGTACTCATCCTGTTGCTCTCTGTCCAGCGCCCCAACTACGGTCACGTTCCCGCTAATAGGATCGATTGTGAATTTTTCACCAGGATTTTCTGTAAAGTTATAAGTGGCGTTCGCATTCTCACCGATATCTTGATCAGAGCTTGTAACTCGAATAACAAACGACCCTATCTCTGCATTCTCCGTTACGTTCACACTGAACAGCCTAGTGAAACGGGGTGGATTATCATTTTTGTCTAGAACTGTCACCAAGACAGTGGCAGAACCAGTTAATTGGGGCGTCCCTTGGTCGATGGCCTCAACTATCAGTTCATAAGCGGCAGTTTCCTCCCTATCCAACTTGGTGTTCGTGTAGATTTCGCCACTTTCCGAATCCATCTCAAACGAACCGTCGAAGTCGTCCAGTAGCCTGAAGGTGACTTGTCCGTTTTCGCCAGAATCCGCATCCGAAGCCGACACTTTCACGACCAAAAGAGGAGGAGACTCCTCCTCAAGCACCGATGCGTTGTACAAAGGGCTGCTCAGTATCGGGGGGTTATCGTTGGCATCCGTCACGTTTATATTCAACTGAAGCACACTCGTCAATGGCGGATTATCCGAATCTTTCGCCTCGACCCATATTTTATACTGCGCCGATGTCTCGTAGTCTAACCCCTTACCGGCGACCTGCACCTCTCCCGTGGTTTTGTCAATCTTGATTGCGTCGCCTATGTTTCCGCCGGCGATCGCGAACCGAACGTTTCCAACCAGACCCTTTTTCGGCGAGGTCGCCTTCACCGTCGTTATCAACTTGCCTTCCTCGATGTTTTCGGCGAGCACGAAGTTCGTTTCGACCGACTGTACGAAGCTGGGAAACAAGCCGGAGAGTTTTAGGAACACTTTCAGCTCCGTGCTGGCCTTCCTCGGGACTTTTCCGCCGTCGGTTGCTTCAATTTCTAAATTGAAAACTCCGCTGTGAATTTTCTGTAGATGTTGCGCGGCTTTGATTACGCCAGTCTCGGGGTTGATAGAGAAATTTTTGGAGTGCTGCCCTGTGAGCGAATATGTGATTTTGCTGTTACGCCCAATATCATTATCGGTGGCCTTTGCGCCAAAGACGAATTGTCCGGCCTTGGTGTTGTCGGCGATGTAGATTTCGAAGGACGGCGAAGAGAACACCGGAGAGTTGTCGTTTTCGTCGGATACTGTGATGGTTAGATTTACAGCGGCGGCTCGTGGTTCTGTGGGCGAGCAATCTTGTGCCATAAGGGTGAGAAAATAGGTATCGGTGTCTTCACGGTCCAACTGGGTTGTTGTGGTTATCACCCCAGTGTCTTGATCCACTTTAAATCGGTTCACCTTATCTCCAAGCAAACTGTAGCGTATTTTCGCGTTTGGACCGCTATCTCTGTCGGTGGCAACCGGCGTTAAAACCCACGAACCCGTTGGATTATTCTCGGCGATAGTGGCATGATACATTTGGCGTTTGAATTCTGGACTGTGATCGTTAACGTCCTGGACAATTATTCGAACGGTGCCCGTGCCGGTTAAAGGTGGTGAACCTGCGAAAAGAAAACATTTGGTCACATTTATATTCATTTCAAATGAACGCACAGAAAAATTACAACGAGTGAATACTGATTAAGTGATTGCGCGAAAGTCGTTAGGTGTTTAACATTCAATATTGGTTTTGTTGGAATCTCACGGCCTTCAACATACATTTTTGAATAATAACTACCAAGTCTTCGTGGAAGTTCTTTGCCATTCATTTTTTGGAATCCATATACAGGGAGTTCAACTTAATAGCACCAAAGCAATTCCACTTTTGAGTTTCACCCTTCTCATTCTGTATTCAGCAACGAAAACAAAACTTATAATATTTCCAATGACTCTCAACTCTGACACACAAAGGGGGAAACAGAAAATTGTGTGAAATTTATAGATTTTAGATTCATTCATGATATCCTTTGTCATGATATACAGGCTGTTTCACGCAAACCGTTACCTCTCACCGAATCTGAAATATCCATACCAACATGATATTTTAAGTAGAACACACGTACCTTTTAAAGGATTTTCCACTTTACATGCGCCTTTGCGACTACCATCTCTGTCCGCCTTATTTCATTTTATAGATTGTAATCCTGATGATAACCGAAGCTTAAAAAGCTTTTTAAACCCTTTGCGAACTCTAATGGCTCTAATTACATAGACTTTAAAAGTTTGGTCGCCAACACTTTCTAAGAGTTTCCGAGGACTCCTACAGTCCTAAAAAAACATTGAGGCATTGAGACCCTACGTTTCCAAAACTTTTCAACCATCTCCAAAAGACGTGAAGGATGGCGTTTATAGTTAAAATTTGAAACACACTTTAGGGTGTTTAATAAGGGTCCGTAAAAGTCTTAATTAAAGAACCTTTTACAACTTTTGAGATTTATCCTCGCTTTGGAAGCGGAAACTTTAAGAACTTTTGTGAATATTTCGGCCTTAAGGGCTTTTAAGTTCATTAAGCGCTTTAAGAGCCTTCAAAAACCATAAAGAAGGCATTTAATTACCTTCAATGGTCTTGAAATGTTTCCAAACGGTTTACACAGTTCCCGACAGATTTTTAGAGCTTGAGACACAGTTTTTAAGAGTGCTCGAAAACTAACCTGTTTAAGGACCTAAAAAAGCTTTTATGAGTTGTTGAGTCTGTACGAACTCCAAAGTCGAGCTTTCGTAATGCAGTATAAGCGCTTAGTTTTTAAGAGTATGTATTTAAAATGTTCTTTGGGATGTTTCATGGGCCTTTAAGAGCCTTTAGGGATCGTCAATAACACTGTTAAACCGATTTCGACTATAAACAGTACCGTGTGTCCTATTTCGGTTGAGACCGCAGCGTATCTCTGCGATCCTGTGCCACTTTTTTGTAAAATGTGGATTAATACCACAAACACAATCAATCTAGCTATACGTTCGTTCCTGACAATTGAGATATAGGGTGAAAACGGAAACTTTGACTTAATGGGACTTTTATCATATCTTGCTACCCATGTTAGGTAGAAAAAAAAGTAAAAACTGCCTATTTTAGATATTTTTACGTAGAATCCAGTGGCGTAGCCAAAAAAATGTTTGACCACTTTTTCTGAGATTTCACCCAAAGTTGGTATTTTTTAAATGCAACGTCCTGCATATTTTAACGTCAATTTTTTTTGCAATTGACTCCAGCGTCCAAGATACTGGGTCCAGCATCAAAGATGGTGGATGCAGCATCCAAGATAGGCCTAATGACGGGCACCGCCGGGCGAACTCCCGAAATACCACCGGGCCCACCTCCGAAATACCCCGGACCAACTGCCGAAAAATCACCCTCGCACCAACTGCCGAAAAATGAATTGCCAAAATTTGAACTTGCACCCTGGGCCAACTGCCAAAACTTCACCCGGGCCAACTGCTGAGATATTTTCCCACGGTCCCCAGAATTTTCTCAGGTCAAAGTATCCCAACACCTACTATAATGTCATCCTGCCGAAGTGTTGCGAAAAAGTTGTGATGGGCCGCATGGATGGAAGTCTCCGGGAAAACTGCTTGGGAGTGATGGAACCCAATTACACCACTTGGGGTCGAGGAATTTTGATTGGCAAGGTGATAGTAAATGCTAAACAACTAACTAACGCCTGTTTGGTTGATGAATTTAAATTCATTCCCGACCAAGTTAATGAAAGGCGTTGAGATTGGGACAGGGAAATACGATGGTTATCCGTTACCCCGAATAGATGACACGCTAGATAAACTAACGGGGGCTAAAGGGTTTCCCACCCCAGACATACGAAAAGCGGATAATTGGCAAGTTGCTCTAGATCCTGAATATCGCGAAAAGACGACAGCCTAATTTAGCTTAGGGTTGGGTCTATGGCAAGTTACGTGCATGCATGCACGATGGCGGAAAACGACGAAAACCCGGGAACGATTCTACTGGGCAGAAGAATATGCAGTTTGTGCCACAAGTAACGTAGCAGTAGGAAAGAAGAAGGCACCGGTGATGCAATACAATCTTCATTTGAAAGAATAGCGGCTACATACATCATGTGGCGTCGGCGACATCTGGGCGCCATCGCAGAGCGTGGGTTTACTAACGTGATGATTTTTCAGTTTTTATCTATCATCTTCTACAGTTTTGGACCAATTCTTTTCAAATTGGTGTTGTCAGAAAGATCTTGTAAATGCCCACAACTCCTACGTGTCGGAGTTTTGTTTTTTTTCGTATGGGGGAAATTATCAACCTTTGGCAGGGCGCGCGTCTTCTAGGGGTAGTAGACTTCGGGCGCCCAAAAAAGTTTCGTAAAGCTCGAATCGCGATCTCTTTTCTCGTGTCTTCGAGTTATAAAAAGTGCCCCAAAAACTGAGTACTATTTTGCGGAGGATTTTTAGTGATATGTGAATTGTGGGTGAGTGGGACATCGAAAGTGGGCACCGACAAAGGGAATGTGGTATGGTAACCCCAACAAGATTTTACTGATGATGGAGTCAAAATTTTAAACGCGAATTACGGGTGAACGGGAAACTCGAAATGAGTTTTAAATTTGTTGTAGATAATAATACTGTAGAATTATATCTCAAATTTAGTTTTTTGCCGCCCCTAAAAAATTATCGCTATGGGCCCGAGCCCACATGGCACCATGCTAAATCCGGTCCTGCCGACCACCAGCGTGATTGGGATCCATATCTGCATTTGTTTCATCTGTTGCCACAATCCCAGAGGAACCCCGGAACCGTTTCGTAAAAAGGTTGTGTTTTTTCTTCAATAATGGAAGACGTACTAAAGGGCCGTCGTGCAAGTACCGCCACCAAGTTGTCTGGGGCTGTCTCTGCTACAACCATGGCAGTTTTAAGAGCGGGCCAGTGTAGCGAATATTCCAGAAATCCCGATAAACATCGAAGCGCCATGAGAGATTAGTCATCGGTGATAAAGAAATAAGGTGGATGACGCAACCTTTCCGGGAAATATGACGTGTTTTGTTTTAGAAGATTCGCGAACACTTGGGAACACGCGACTTTACAATATAAGCAAATCTAATTGCGTTTCAGAACAGTTCCAATTTCAACACCGACGTCATAAATAGTTCGCGCTGTTAAATTATGAATATGACAAGATAAATATTATTTTAACTGTTATTAATCAATTCATTTCAAAACTGTTATAAATTTATTGTTAATTATGTAATTGCAAATGAATAAAATAAGTAATTAAATTTACGTTATATTACTTTTATAATTAACCAGTGTCCCGTTGAAAATTTTGCAAGTGATTTTTAATCCAAGAATGCTCTCCTCATTTTCTCCGAGGTTCTCCTCAAGTAGGTACGTAATTACCAAGAGTATCAAGTTACTTTCAACCTTCATAATTTTCTTGAGTTCCTCTCAAATCCTCACCAATTTTCATATTCCCTACAAGTTCCCCACAAGCTTCTCTAAAGTACATTCAAGTCCTCTACAATTACTTTTACGTTCAGTTGTTAATTCCTTCTTCAATTTCTCCATAAACCAAGGTGATCCCAAGTCAAGTCTTCCTATAAAATTCTTACCAAATTCAAGACTTGCTCAAGTTCTTATCAAATGCTCTCATGTTCCCATCAAGCTTCTCTTAATTTCTTCTTATGTTCCTTTAAGTTCCATTAAAGCTCTCCCCATGAACTCTACTTCTTTCTCATTGAACTGGATGAGATCGATGATGCTTCACAAAGCAGAAATTCAACTTCTGGGTCAAATTTATTGAAGACCACGTGCGACTTAAAAATTAGTTGAATATGCAAGGATGACTGCTTCACATCGCGAAGTTCAATGGCACTTTTTTTGAAAAGGAGCTTATGGTAACTTTAACTCGCGTGCATCGATCTTTAAATTCGCAACGTCACGTGCGATAATGCCGATAGCCGCACGATGATACCTATCAAGTGGACCAGAAAAACTCTAACAATAACAATTTGCTTTATCTTCCGTTATTGAAATCGGTAACGAATAGAGATGCTAATCGCGTATATACCGTGAGAACCGCCTCATCGTGACAATATTCATGTTGGTAAAACTAATGGCCTACGGGGGGCGTGCGTTGACTTGGCCATGCACCCTAATAAAATTTAAATATTTAATTCGCCAACGAATTAGAACTAATTCTCGCGGCGCGATTAAGTAAAAGTGCTAAAAAAAGGTTTCTTGTAAAAAAAGAAAGAGATCGCCATAAGGTTATCTTAAAATGGAGAGACTAAGCGTCCAAGTTAATAGTTGTTGAGCATAGCTTCACGTGCTACGTTGCGTCTGATGTGTATTATCGTGCTTTATTGTGTACATTAAAGCAGCATAACATATCAATGGTAAACTTGTTCTGATAAATTTGGTTTCGATGGTTCATTAGCAACTCACGCTGTGCGGCATTTGTACATCCACGGTCGCTCCAAGTCGGGTTCGTTCTTATGATTGTTTACGGGCTCGATCACTTTTTATCCGGGCAAAATTCGTATTTATTCTCCTTGATGTTAGATAACTATTGTTAGGTCGCCTCCCGATGACGTTTTTAATGCCAATA